CCCTGGGAGGGGGTTATAGGTTGATCCTTGTAATCAGATGTTTATTAATCTACAAAAACAAATAGTCAATGTGCAGGTTAATATAAAAGTATTTCTTCCCTTTATAAAATGCTTTTGAAAATAAAATATTATGGTATAGATAGCAGGTGGGAACAGAATATCAGAAAGCAGGAACACAGAGCTATTAGGTGCTGTCTGATGGCAGTGTTAGGTAAGCATTGGCCTCTTTGCTATAAGTTCAGCATTTCATACTCACCAGCCATTCCTTGGGAGGGAGATGAAGTTGGCCACGCCCATAAAAATGTATGACCTCATAAACCCTATATAGAGTCTCTATGAGTCAGAACTGATTCAATGCCAGTGAGTGGGGCTCTCAAGTTTCCTCCAATTCATAGCATCCTTACATAAAAAGTAAAATGTTGCCCACTCTCACACTGTACTCAAAATTGTTGCTATGTTTGAACCCACTGTTGCAGCTACTGTGTCGATCCTTCTCATCGAAGGTCTCCCTCTTTTCTGCTGGCTCGCCCCGCCTGATGATCAAGTATATGAAATGAAGTGTCACTGTCCTCACGTCTAAGGAGCCCTCGAGTTATACCTCCACTAAGAGGTGTTTATTCTGGCAGTCCATGATACATTCCGTGTTCTCCATCAACACCATACTTCAAATACATCAAATTTTCTTCTGTCTTCCTTACCCGTTGTCCAATTTTTCCATGAATATGAGGTAATTGAAAATACCATGGTTCACGGCAGGTCGGCGGCTGTCTGGTCCCTGGGGATCCTGCTGTACAACATGGTCTGTGGAGATATTCCCTTCGAGCATGATGAGGAGATCATCAGGGGCCAGGTCTTCTTCAGGCAGAGGGTCTCTTCAGAGTGTCAGCATCTCATTAAGTAGTGTTTGGCCCTGAGATCATCAGATCGGCCCTCCTTCGAAGAAATCCAGAACCACCCGTGGATGCAAGATGTTCTCCTGCCCCAGGAAACGGCCGAGATCCATCTCCACAGCCTGACGCCGGAGCCCAGCAAATAGCAGCTCTTCTGGCAGGTCCTCCCTCCCTGTCGGATGGTCCAGGAGGGGAAGCTTCCCAAGTACCAGTGACACGTTTCACCAAGCAGGACAGGACTTGATACAGGAACAATATTTCCAACTCATTCCAGAGCCCAGGGCCCCTGGAGGCAGTCTCCACACGGGGAGGAAGAGACTCCACTCCAGGTGGCCTAGGTCTCAGCTCCCCTAGATGTGCGCTCCCCTCATTCTGTCCAGGCATTGCCGGACTTCTGCTAAGGCCGGGGGGGGCGGGAGGAGGGCGTTGAGAAACCCTGCCATGGGACTGGCCTGTTCCTTCATCACGAGTTCTGCTGATGCCGAGATGGGTCGGGTGGGGGTTGGGATGGGATATAGGACTAGCACCATTTTCAGTCCCTGTCACCTCTTCCGACTCTTCTGAGTGCCTTCCGTGGGGACTCCGTCTGTGCTGGGAGAAATACTTGAACTTGGCCTCTTTCACCTGCTGCTTCTCTGGAATCTGCCCGGGTTTGGTCCCCCGTTTTTCTCTCCCCCTCACCCCCCAGACGAAAGGTGCCATGGAGAGGCCACAGGGCCAAAACGCTGAGCCACCTGCCTGTTTTTCTGCCTCTTTTAAGTAAAACTCCGAGTGGACTGGTCTTCCTTTTTTGGGGATTTTTTTTTTTTTTGGTTGGTTATTACTTAAACTCTTTCAAAAGCTAAGACCTCACACACACACACAAATGCACAAACAATGCAAGTCAACAGAAAAACTGTAAATGTGTGTACAGTTGGCATGGTAGTGTACAAAGGATTGTAGTTGATCTTTTTTTTTCTTCCCTTTTTTGTTTTGATTTTGCCTTTAAGTTATTTCACCACCACCACCACCCCACCTTTTTATGAAAGATGCTCATTCTTAACCTAGAGGTCAACGTTATGTATGTATGTATTTATTTATTTATTTGGTTCCCTCTTCTCCCTCTCGCGCCAAGCTTCCACGGC